TCTGGTCCCTGTTCACACAGCTGGTTGTCAATTTCAGAAACCAAGCTCATAACTCCGAAGCCACCTGCCCAGAATAATAATTTAACTTAAACCTGCAATTCTACAGAACCGCTAGAACTTAGTTCTGAAGGTATGCACAGAAAGATATCCAGGGAAGAGTGTCATGACCAAAATGGAAGCTGAAGCAGAAGATGAACGGGAAAATGATCGGGTTTAGGTTCAACTATTTTATTGGAGCAACCTTCTGAAATGTGGGGGAGAGATATTCTGGAAATTAAAAAAAAAAAAAAAGGTTAAGATCTGTTACCTCACTAAGACCAGTTATTTCCAACTTTAAATCAAAAGCTACATAAAACTTAAAATAAAAATTAAAAAGCTTATTTCCTTTTTAGAACTGTCAAGTTTTACTGGTTCCCACATACAAAAATTAAAACAAGGGGCTAGAGAGATGGTTCAGCGGTTAAGAGCACTGGCTGCTCTTGCAAAGGACCTGGGCTTGGTTTCCAGCACCCACATGGCAGCTAACAACTGTCGGTAACTCCAGTTCCAGGGGGATCCAACACCCTCTTCTGGTATTGCATGCACATGGTATATTTACATGCAGACAAAACACTCATACACATAAAATTTAAATTAATCACTTAAAACAAGTAATAGTTCAATTCTACATATGGGAAGAATCATTTCTCAGACCTTGAGCCAAGCACCTTAGAATTAATAATTCCTATTTTAGAGATAATAGTAATAACAATAATCAAAACTAACATATCAAGGATGTTCAATGAGGCACCACTCCAAAAGTTTTAAGTGTAGCAACATGTTTTCTGGAACAGAGAGATTGTGTGATTTATCCAAAGTCACCCAGCAGATTGTGTCAAAACTAGAATGAAATACTGGTCGAAAAGGTTAAGCAAAGCCAGGCATGCAGGCCTTCAGTCCTAGCACTCAGGAGGCAAAGAAGGAGCAGGATCTCTGTGAGATGAAGGCCAGCCTGGCCTCACAGTGAGTTCCAGGCCAGCTGGGGCTACAGGGTGACCCTTGTCTCAAACCCTCAACCCCTCAAAAAAGAAAAGTTAAGCAAGGTGTTCCAAAGGCCACAGAGCTGTCAGTCATGAGCCTTCAGACTAAGGCAGCCTGCCAAATGAACCTTCCACCATGGGCACCTTCCTGATGCCACCTATAGTTACCAGAACCCAACACAATAGAGAGTAACAGAGCCTAATGCAAACCACAGAACACAGGTCCCATTTTAAAAGGGCCAGTCTTCAATTCTTCCAAAGACAGGAGAAACTAGAAATCTCTAAATTTTCAAATGTTGCCCTCATGTTTTCCAAAAGCATCCAATCAGCCAAACAAACATGTCCATGGGCTAGCTATTGGCTTAAAGCTACTCTTCATTTACTGGAGACTTAAGTCAAAAGATTAGCCACACAATCATGCCAAAAAATGTTAGAAATCAGAATCGGTAGGCCAGGTTTGCACACAGGTCTCTCCTTTCAACACGATTCACTCTGCACTTGTCCTGGATTCAAACTTCTACCTCTGCTGACTCCCTTCCAAGCTCTCCTCACTCTGGCGTTACAGCCGTGAAAATATCTACTGGAGCTGCTGAAACTGCATATGAAATTTTGCATATTTGGATTCCTGCAAATGTCTTTTAATCCCACTTTGGAAAAGTTACCACACATGACTGCAGCAAAACACAGTACTTCCCACATCCCAGCCTGCCAGCTCATGAACCAAATTCATTTTAGAGAAAATGAGGCTGTGGCTTGTCCCCCACTTCTAAAGAGTTCCTGTACTACGGTCCAGCTCCGTGAATTCCGCCCAGGACACTCCGGCTCATTTCCTCCTGTCCTTCTTTAATCAGCTGGAGGAGTCTTGAGGAAATGAGTCAAAATCCTAAGGGTAACTTCTAAGGACTGTCAACAACAGCGGCAAAATCCATCACCAAAACAACATCTGCATCTAAGTGCTACAAGGGAAGCCCACAAAATACTTGGCACATTTCTGATGGGAATTTCTTCTGAGAGGGGTAAACTGTCATTGTACTTGACCATGCTCGGCCGGGATACACAGCCGGTGTGATCAGCCAGTATCAGGGGCTCGCTTTTTCACAAGTACACACAAGAATATAACGCTGGCATCCTTTCTATTTGAGGGGCTGGGAGGGTGATTTTCAACTGCCCTACATCATCATTTCAGAGATAAAGTATCTTCCTTTCAGAGACCCTAACTGGAAGGGACCCCAGCTCACACTGAAAGCTCTCATACCTCAGGCTCAAAGGCACCCTGGCCCAAGCTACTGCAGTGAATACTCATGACAAAATAACTCCCTGAAATTAAGAAAATTAACTCAAATGGCTGAAGACAGGTAGTTTGAAGCCTTTGCTTCACCCAAAGCAGCAGTTCTGCACCCCCAGAACCTCAAACTGGGCTGGGCTCATAGTAAGCACTCATTAAATATTTTTGCATGTCTTACTCTACAACAGATTCTAGTGAGCTATGTAAATGTATATTCAGTTGGGCATATGGAGCTGAGCTCAGGCTCCTTCGCTGATTATTTTGAGCAAGTGGTTTATTCTCCAGTTGTAAAATAGTAGAGGCTGTAGTGGCCCATTATCCTAGGCCCTTAGGTACAAGAACAGCAGTGAAAGCCCTCTGCATGGGGCCTGACAACCAGTTTCTGACTATAAAGTAGCAACTACACCCAAAGCATATCCATGACATGAAATTTAAGGCACATGCGTTGTAAAAGCACAGTATGCATGATTTATAATGCAGTAAGAAAAAAAAAATGTGTGGATGGGTGGGAAAAACTGGAATAGGGTGAGTGAATTATCTGGGATCCCTTTACATTGCTATCAGGTTGTTTCCAGTAGGATCATAAGCCAGAATGGCCGGTGCATGGGTGACTCGAGCTGTGCACCTGCAGGAGCAGGGGAAGGTATGATTCACTGTTCCTTTCGGGACCATCCTGTTGGGTACTGGAGCTATAAACGCAGGAAGGGGTTATTACAGAGCAGACACCTACTAGCCCTCCAACAGACTATTTGGGAGAGCAAAGTATACCCCACAGCTCCCTGCTAGACCAGGGGCAGAGTAGAAGGATACCCCCACCACAAAAGTCCCTCTGACCTGGAGAGAAGCTTTCTGGAATTCTGAACCCCAGGGATCCTTCATGATGCTAATGTCTTCAAGTACCCTTGAGGAAAATGAAGTCCTCCCCCACCGCAACTTAAATGACCCGCCCAAGGGCAAACAACCAGGGTCGGGCTGAGAGAAGATGGGAATTGGAGGGACAGAGCAAGGGTTTGTCACTACAACACACTCACTGCCTGCCTCTCAGGAAAAGGATCTTCAAATTCTCTTTGCCAAAAAGCTATTGGATAGAGCAAGCAAATGCAAAGGAAGAAGCAAACCATTGATTCGTTTCTGTTTTTTAAGAGAGCTACGCGGTGTGATCTTTCTGGTGTTCCACCCAGCTCTAAAAAAGAACAAGGAAAAAAAATATAAAGATCACCACCGGGGTCATTTTCAGCTCAGCGATCAAATCCGCCTAAGATTCCGCACACTCTCTTGTGACCCCCGGTGACCCCTCCTCGGGCACAGGGGTCCAGATGCAAGACCTCCCCCAACAGGAAAGCCCTCCTGCGCCTTTCAAAGGCGTCGGGAGAGCAGGATCTGGAGATCGCTGCCAGCGGCGAGGCTCATGACCAGTAACTCAGATGCAGGCTGCTGGGCGCTTCATCCCGGCGCAGACTATCAGGGAAACCCTTGAAGGCTTTCTGATTTTGTTATGAAAACGACCTGGGCGAGAACAAGGCTTCGGGGACCGCGCGCGCCAGCGACACCTGGCAAAAGGGGGCAGGACCGAGGGGCTCCAGTGCAGACTCTCCTCTGCCTGGAGACGCAAGTTCCCGCGCTGGGATAGCAGGGTTCTCCGAACAGCCTTTAAAGAAACAAATGGGATTTGCAGGAAGTTCACCCCATCTTCCCCCTCCACCTCTGAGTATGGCTATCACGTGGGAGGGGGTGTCACGAATCTCCAAAGAAAAAGGCCACCTGCGATTACAGGTCGTACACACCCGGGGACCAGGGGTCTCCAGAGCTGCTCAGGTTGGCTCGGCCCTGGGACTGGCGCTGGAGGCAGCAGAGGTGGGGGACCGCTGCGTCCCCCGCAAACAGTCCCAGCCTCCCAGGAGCAGGCGACCGACGCAGCCTCCAGCCGCTCCCCGGCGCGTGGCTGCAGAGAGGGGCGAGCCTCCAGCACGGGATTTACAAAAGGAAAAAGTCTGCAACCTAGCGGCTGCACGCCACACGCCCGGCCCAAGTTGTCCCCGGGGCCGCCACCTCCTGGTTCGCGGGGTCCCGCCCCAGAGAGTCGCACGCCATAAGCCCCGTGGCCCCCCCCCCAAAAAAAGCACAGGCGGACGGTGCAGCCCAGAGTCCTCTCCACGGGTGGCGCCGCGCACGACAAGGGCAACCGTGACCGGGTCCCTGTGCACAAAGAGCGCCCGCGGTGGGGAAGCAGCGGGCACCGAGCAAAGAAAAGGCTCTCCAACTTTGCCCCACGCGCCTGGGAACCGGCGGCTGGTCCTCCCGGGCACCCGCCATCCATTCGCAACTTTTTAACAAAAGGAAGCCGCGGCCGCGCCTCGCACGCCCTAAGAAGCCGGGGGCCGCCACCAAGGCCACCCGCGCTCCGCCCGCACAAAAGCAACGCCAAAGTCGCCCACAGCCTGCAGCCTCGGCTCCCGGAAGACCCCTGGATTCCGGGTCCCCTCCAACCCACCCCCGCTGTGGACTCCAGGCGCAGGTGAGCGAGGCGGGGTCAGGACAGTCCCGCGGCCACCCGCCACCTTCCCGTTGGCTGCAAAGCACTGGGAAGGAAAAGCCAGCCGCCACATCTCCAGACGCACCCCGGCGGGTGCCACTCCTCCCCCGGCCCTGGCTGCAGCCACCGGGGGCGCGGTCCCCAGCCTGGAGCGCACTCCCACCTGTGTGGCCGCACAGCAGGACGAACAGGACGCCGAGCAGATCCCAGGCGCCTGAAGCGCCTCTCATCGCGGTGGCTGAGCTGGGCTCCAAGCTCTGTTCCTGGCTCCAGCTCTCGCCCGAGTGCACTGAGCGCGGCAAAGCCGAGCCCCTGAGCCGCGAGAGGCGAGCGGCGCGCGGCAGCCCCTCCTCCCAGCCCTCCCCCTGCGCGCCGGCCACGCCCCTCCCATCGCCCCTC